CCTCCAGAAGGCCCTGGCACTCCTTAGGCCCAGCAGACGACATTTTCTTTGTTTAAATTGAATTCGGCATTGTCTTTCCGGCTGCTGGACACCCACCAAATGGAGAGAACTCTAAAAGCAGAAATGCAGAAAATACAGAAGTTAAGGGACGTAAGCCAACAGTTTGGACCTAAGGTTTATTCAATGTGATTGTTCCTGAAACGTACAGAGTTTAGGTTTGGAAGACTGGAAGGTTTTGCTTGATGAGTTCTCCATGGCAAGCATCAATTTTAGCCTTCCGTTCAAGGGACAGCAAAGGAGGCAATTTCCTTATTCTAATAGCAGCCTCTTCACAGTTTCACATACACCAGTGCTATGGGCCTGCCACCCACATTTCACTTTATAACAGGATAAAGAGGATACCCTTTAATAAAAGCTCTTTCTACATTCCTGGCCCCCGATCTGTGACACTTCATGTAACATCGCTGGGTGAGACCTCTATGCCACGTTATAGATGTTCATAAGACAACATGGTGTTGGTGGTGCGAACCACTATTACAGGGGACCTAAGATCACAATTTTCCATAAGGATCTTTTGTGGTTCCAGATGTTCTTGATACGTTATGTTATGTCTTGCTTATGAACAAGAGGTGAATGTGTGTGGGGTTTTGCTCTTGTATATTCCTTTGGGGGAGCTGGTTTCCAAGTCCTGTGATTTCCCTGCACTTGACAACAGAGTGTCTGGAACATGCCCTGGCAACCCATCCCCCTCCTACAAGAGCTTGGTAATTGGAAGGTCATTTCCTGTATTGTTTGATCACCTGCTTTCACAACTTGGTAACATAAGTCCAATAATTAAATAATTTTAATTGATCTTTCTAAAATAGAAACTGTGAAATGAAATGCCCTTTGAGATGAGAATTCTCTCAGACTTGTATTTTTTACAAACTGAGGTAACATTTCTTTGAAAAAGGTTCTTAGTAGGGTCAAACAGAAACAGGATGTATGTTTTTTAAAAAAAGTATAGGGGCTTCCCTGGTGGCATAGTGGTTGAGAATCTGCCTGCTAATGCAGGGGACACGGGTTCGAGCCCTGGTCTGGGAAGATCCCACATGCCGTGGAGCAACTAGGCCCGTTAGCCACAACTACTGAGCCTGCACGTCTGGAGCCTGTGCTCCGCCACAAGAGAGGCTGCGACAGTGAGAGCCCCGCGCACCACGATGAAGAGTGGCCCCTGCTTGCCGCAACTAGAGAAAGCCCTCGCACAGAAATGAAGACCCAACACAGCCAAAAATAAATATAAAAATAAATAAATAAATTAAAAAAAAGAAAGACCTAAAGAAGAAATACATAGCGAATATCCTCAAAAAAATTTTTTTAATTAAAATTAAAAAAAGTATAATAAATACAACTAATAGAATTCCTAGCTAGGAAGAAAGTGCTGGGAAAAATCCTGCCTAAGGATCTGGTCAAAATGACTGATCTCCAGAGTTCGGTGTCACATGGTTTTGACAAATGACATCCTTCTAATGTGAAAAGGCATTCCT